TATTAATTATTATTAAATTAATTAGGTAAATTGTGTATTATTTTAACTATCTCGACAGCTTTCTCGACTCCGAGTACAAACAATAAAAATTAAAAAATAAATAAATCCTATCGTTAAAGTTTCCACGAATTACCAATCTCCATGAACAGGTGCTATCATCGAATAAACACACATTGTGGATGCACACTTGTTTATCGTGTTTTATTTGTCAAGAAATCTACTGAACACAATTGCAAACTGTTTCAATAGCAGTTGCTCCCGTCTGGCGCAAATAAAGTATAGACATAAATACGTTTTTTAGAGAAATGTTGACTTGGAATACTGGCATATTATATAACAACCGCTATATGTGATCCAGAAGTCTGTAACGACACTCAGTGTCTCTCCTACACGTTTTTTGTTGGGTACAGTAGTGTCTACTACCGGTATTGAAAGTGCGCCCTCGGTGTTGGAGTTATTAAGATTCGGATCGTCACGGTCAATCTGCAACATTCACCCGGGCCAGCAACATAATGATTCAACGCAACGGAGAAAAGTCATGCAAACTAGTAGTTTTCAAGTTTTGTATGAAATTATCGGGTAGATCGAAACGTGCGATTTTGATGATGTGTCACCTGTCATTGGTGGATTTAGAGGGGGCCGAAGGGGCCGCGGCCCCCCTATTTTTTACAACCAACAGGACTTCGCGCCATCGGCGCTCGCGAACTTGGCATTCGGCCAACTTATCCCCCCCCTATTCCAGAATCCTAGATCCGCCCCTGCCTGTGTTGCATAAGCCTTATCTCAAATGCGAATACTTACTTACTCAACAAGTTGCACTGCTGTATAAGCGCCCTCTACAGTGTAGAAATATACGCATTATCGTATTTGTAATCCGTATTGCACTGCTTTTATTTTTGTTATTACAAACATATTATTACAAAAAATATCGAAAACAAACTTAATATTATAGCATATTTTTTTTCGACAATCAGAATATCAGTAATATATATATACTAATGAATTTCAGGTGATTGAACTTGCTCAGTATTTCATCTCGTTTTTATTATTTGATTTTCCGAATCTGGGCATCACAGCTTTGGACTCCTGCTGTTGTGACTGTGCAAATTTCCTGTTGTAATTTTACACGCATATACTTCGCACGGGGACCACGTCGAATACAAGTTCACATTTAAATTCTGTTTGAATTCTATGTATCGACTTTTTGGAAGCATTTCTTTCAGAGCGTTCCTATCTTATGTATTTTATTAGTAATTCAGACCATACTCTTTAAACTCTTCAATAGTTGCGCAAATTAAATGATCAGTTGATCAACTGAATTTCAGTTGCCATGACAAACTGCGAAATTACCTTATAATTAAAAAATTGTGTGGTTCTTGCGCAGCAATCGTTCCAAATAATTTCACGCCGAGCGTCGTATTCATGGACCAACTGCCATTCAACATTTTAATTTATATTTCCTTTAATAATTATAAAATTAAAACGGGGACACATCGGGACAATTTTCCGGGATAACGATTTGAAATCGATAATACTGTTGACAGAAAATGGTGACGTACCCGGCGTATAATTCTGCTGTTGCAACCTTGAACTACTCGAGATGCACAGCGTGTTGTCAATTCTCATATAAACACAATTTGTTTCAACTACGAAATCCGGAAATTTGTTTTTTTTAGTATCGTTGATGTGTGGTAATAATCATAATATCGCGCATAACGGACATGTGATGGACCGCTTATAGGAGAGGATTTCACGTTGGCCACCGTGACTAGCAGATAGCTGGCTAGAGAAGCCATATTCCTATCTTCAATCGTGATAGAAATATGATAAATTGTGGAAAAACGTTTAAAGCGGGAGGGTCGTCACCTGCGACGATAACAATACACGCTAAAAACGTAAAGGCTCATGGGTAGATGCTTGTTTGTAAACAATTACACGCTATGGCCATCTGACGCATGCGCAGGCGACGACTCCCCCGCTTTAACATTGCGCGCTTGAATAACGCACAGTCTTTCAGCCATTTCGTCATGTCACGGTACTCAAGTCACATTACTTTTCGGTGTTTTATATGTTGTTACAGCGTGTTTTACTCGTATTTGCTTAGACTACTATAGAAGTTAAATAGCAATTTCCGTATTAACTGTAAAACACCGGAAATAATTTGTCAAAGTCGTCAGTGCGTAAAAGTGCTATATAGTCCGGTTAAAAGCAATTGAATTGTGACAACATTATTGACTATATGCACGAAAATTCATTTTCGATTTCTGATAAGACACGAGTTGCATTCTAAGATTGAAGGGTGCGTTGACGTTACCATAACAACGGTGTATAATGAATAAATATTTGTAAAAACATTTCGATTTCTAAGAACAACTAAAGTCATAAACAGGTATAATTCAGTAATATATCGCAGTATAAAACATGTCTCTATAACAATGTGCCCGTCGATGACTCAACTCAGTTAACGGGCGTAATAATGCTGCTATACTAGGCACACCTGGGAATCAAGCCAGCACGCATACCCCATTGAATGAATTAAACGACTACACACACAAAGACAAACTTTGAACAAAAACACGGAAAGTCAATTCAAAAAAATCAATTCCATGAACAGGACTGAATAGTTAACAAGCGAATTCTAGTACACGTCTCGCAAAGATTTGTTTTGAAAGACTCCTATCGACGCGGTTCGTCATAATTGGCCTGATGGATGAGATCGAAGTCTCTGAGCCTAATGTATTGAATAAAGCTTCACCATAGGAAGTCAGTAGATCGTGTCGACTTTTGAAATTGTATGCATAATTGATGAGCAAAATGCAAATTATATTTTGTCAAACTGTGTTACGTTTATTTGACTCACCGGCGACCTGTATTGCTGCAATTCTCACGATGTCGTCTTTGCTATAGGGCGAGCAGCGTACCTTCTCAGCAAATATGGGTACGTGCGTATTTCTATGAAACATCATGTCAAAAAGGTAAGAGTGGTGAAACCTGCGCCGCGAATTACACGTTGTTGTGAATTCATACATTTCATGAAATGTACATCATTATACTGATCGCCGCACATCGGGTGCTGCTCATTTCAGTTCAAGTGTAACTCATTCGTTTTATATTTCCAGTGTTAAATATGATATCCTCTTTGAAATTCATGCTGGCGAATATGCACCGAATATTGTTTATATTTATGACTGAAACGCCCTACCCCTCCCGCCCCGTCGGGACACACTTACAGTATCAATGTGGTAACTGCGGAAAATAAAATGAAAAGAGTAAACGTGATACGTGTTGAGAACGATTCGAAGAACATGACATTATTAGTTATAACAGACAGCTTGTGTAACACTAGTATAATACTTGAAAGGAAGGCAACTGTACGACTGCGGCGTGTTATTGCCATAGCAACCTGTTGAGTAAACGTGCCATTATGACGCTTGAAATGTACTCAACTATCCGCAATTAACAAATTGTCTTCTTGCTAATATTAATACGATGAATAAGTAATACATATTGTCAGCCCCCCCCCCCCCCCCCATTTCACCCCGGTCGAAAACGCATATATACTTAGGGTTTGGGTTTCTTTGGGGGACTTGAGACTGGTTGGACTTATAACACTCGCATCATCGGGAGATAAGCATTTTAAGAGGTTGCGATTGAGGTGTTGAATCTAACGATAACTATTCCTGTAAATGCATTAATTATTCACTGTTTTTTAATTGCGCTATTTTCACTAATGAGATGCGTAAAATTCACTTAACTAAATACACATGAACTTGGATTGATTTTGTTTCTTTGCCAAGTTCGTGAAACAAAAACCGAGTGAAATTGTTCAAAACATCAAAATAGTGAAATTGAATACCAATGAAAATAGTTTTACAGTCTTTTATACTATCACCGTGTAACCTTCGAAATTGATGACGCCACAAATATTATGCTATCATTCCTGCGAAAATTCCAATTTTATTCAGATTCACGAAGTTCTCTTCGTCATTGCGCGCTTCCATAGTCATTCTGAGCAACGGTTGGTGTTAGTGTCTCCCGGGTGTACTTCTGTACTCGAACTGTCACTAGAATATGTATACAATTGTTCCCTGTCTCGTTGCCACAGAGTGCGTAAAGTATCAATTGTGTAACTTTTATAAAACAAAATAAATACAAAAAATTGACGTTTGGATCTGTCACAGATGACACGATGACAAATACTGTTACAGACTAGTCAAGTCTCTGACCCCTCCAACCGACTAGTACGACTGGGAAGCTTGAGAGTCAAAACATGAATTCAGTTAGGTTGGTACTTCTTTTTATTCCGCACGGAAAATGAGTATTTCATTTTTGACATCAGCATACAAATGAAGCTTATCTCCTCGCTTACTGCATATCCCAAGCAGCACATTATCAAGGAACGCTCCATTTTTAGTGAAATGTTCGGAAATAGTAACCTTCTTTTTTTTTCTTTCTTTCTTTTAGTTGATTTCACGCGTGCTTGAAACTCGTCTTTTCTAACATATACTTTATATTACGGTTAAAATAACGATTGATTTATTTGAGTTGTTTTCCCACAGGAAATGGAAGTTGTTGACCACCGTGGTGTCATTGAATCAGATAAAGCAATCAGCATACTGTATTCAGTTTTGTGAAATGATACAGTTGTAAATACACGCATTATGTTCTTTCATTTCATTTCACGTGTGCTTGAAGTTCACCTTTTCCATAATATACTACACTGCATTATGATTAAAATAACGATTGATTTATTTGAGTTGTTTTCTCGCAGGAAATGGAAGTTGTTGGCAACTGTGTTATCTCTGAATCAGATCATGGAACTATAGTTCCATGATCAGATACAGCAATCAGCATACCAGTATTTTGCAGCTCGGGCTAGAACGCGAAACGCATGCGCGAAGATTTGTTGTGTTGGCCTGGCAACAAGCTAAACAACCTAATTTGCATACACTAAGCGTATGGTCCCACCCCATTATTATTCTTTGATCGAGCATGATACGGTAGTTACAATATAACTCGTGTCAAAGGGGTACTCACTGAGCAATATTATTTTTACGGCGTTAATTCTCCACTGCGCTGTACGTACATCTGTGAGCGGCTTTACCAGAAACGTAGTTCTACGGAGATCGTTGATATCGTACGAGCGTCGGACTGTGTTTGTTTGGATTATTATCATACTGCAATAAGGAACGGATGCTACTAGAGTCGACACCGGAAAACAGAAAGGTCGTTACCAGCAGCTGTCGACGCGACGAGGGAACTGACCTAGTAAATTACCGGTTATTACGCGCATCAGGTTGCTATATAATTGCAGAGAGAGAGTGGGAGACGTAACACAGTACACTGTTTAACACTGCTGCTTTAACCGGCCTCAACTGGCAGGTATTAATGAGATCGGCATCTCACCGCTGGCTACAATTCGCGGCCATTGATAAACAGTGATATAAGCGTTTCAAAACTCAACGACACTTTATATCAACCAAGAACTGTCCGCGGGTGCTTAAAGTACACCACTTGAGTATTAACCGGTTCCTTTTCTCTTAGACTGGCCAGTTATACAGAGTAAATCGCCACAGGAGCAGCTATCTATAACTAAGACACACTTTGTTATACACACCTCTCTACTAAAAGACACAAACACTACAGAGACACAAAATGGATCGCACTGTTACTATGACTAACCGAAGCACTTCCGCTGGTTACCGTTTTCCTGTTGCTCCTCGTCCCCACAGCTCGTACCATCAGACGTGTATACCGGCAGAGAAGAAGAGCAACCCAGCGCCAGCACCTCCTCAAAATTACTCCCAGGAGGTTTATGAGAAATGTGATGCGGTGACGCAAGACAAGATCTGGAAACAGAGTGTGTCGAATGAACAGAAAGGTCTTGCGAAATGGTATGTTTAATTTTTAATCTTTTCTGATTAGGTATTTTTCAACTACTTGTACTGTGCATGGTAGAGGCGACAGTTCTCACTCCCTTCCGATGATTGCTGTAGTTCTGAGGGTGCGGTGAACATGACCTCCTTGTCTTGTCCGAGTTAGAGTGTAGTCCCTAAAAAACAGTTGCCGTTGAAATTCAGTGTTCCCACCTGGTTCCCGTAAACGTCGCCATTTAGCGTACAGCACAAATTGAGAAGGTGACCGAAACAGAACATTCTAGGACGGCGGTAGTAGTGTAGATTTGTATTTTTTTAAACAAGATCCACACATTTTGACGAATGAAAACTTTATCCATGGATATGCACTGTCCTTCAGAGTAACACAATTCCAAGGTCAACCATATGCCCAGGTTCAAGATTGTCATCTGGCGTTAGTATGGAAATATCCACGGAAATTGACATGTGTTTATTCAATTACAGAAATTTACTGGTGGATTATATAACGTATTAACGTAACTACTTGAATGGGCGCTGAACAAAGCATGTATCTACAGTGCCCGGCTAACTATTAATTTAAACATTAATAGCCCGTATTCAAACTGCTCTTTCTGTCGGAAATCCGTTTTAATTTTACACGAAATACCATTTTCCGGGTTAATTAAATACTGCCAGTATGTTTTTATTTCCACGTGTACTATGGTATTCTCTAACATGCTTGCATAAAGAATTATCTCCCCTCCCTAGTAACCCATGAAACAAATTACAGCGACGATACAAAAGAACACTAAACTCATTGTATATATCTTTATTGTATCTTTTCATCCCGATACACAGCTGAGGATGGGCAATTTTTAAAATATATAAATTATTTCCTCCGTAGTAATTGTCATTATTCGGTGAAATCACACGAAAGCTCGAACCAAACTCAAGTTTTATACAGTCACAAAGAGTTATCTAGAAAAGGCAAAAAAATAGTATAGAGTTCAATCAATTACCTATAATAAATATACCGTTGTCATAGTATGGGTCGTGATAGAGCGTTATGGTGTGGTCGTGAGATATACTTTACTGGAATGCTACATATTTTAAAGACGAAATTTTATCTTAATTACCTATCCCGTATCATCATCAAATCAAGATACCAGAATAGCACACTCGGCAAAATGTTGTTTCTAATAATAATAAATGTGGGCTTTAAAACTGAAGTAAAGTTCGCTATGTTACAGTCGTACACGTATAATCAAGTTAGTTCATTGTTTAGGGGTATACGTCTCTGTTTTACGTACGCACAGTGTGGTGTTATGGAGGCCAAGTAAACACGTAATTCGAATGTATACACAATTCTGTAGTGATTCAGCCGAAGCCA